ACTACTACTACTACTACTATGATGACCCCCACTGACAGCCCCACGTCCGTGACAACGGCAAGACGACGACCTCGAAGACGGGGCTAGGACGCGGACGAATACAGCGACGATGACGACAACCGACAGCGTCGACGAGGACGACGGACGACGGACGACGACCACCGACGACGAATTCTTCTACACCGATGACGACAACGGCGACCAGCGATGCAGACCCCGAAGAAGGGTAAATCGAAACTCGACCGGCCGAAGAACGACCCAAAACAAAAACTTGATGCAGGCAGGCGGAGACCGTCCTCGTTCAGACAGAGGCACACGGACTCATGCCTGATGTCCAACAGCTGCGGTGAAAGACCCCGGATCCCTAAAAGGAGTCGGAGTCCCAGAATTGACCCNNAGATCTCTGAACCCTAAACCCTATCCCCGGTTCGCCCCTAAACCTGGCGCGGTTGTAGTCTGTGCCTACAGGCATTGGGACAAGTAAGGCAACTGGGAACCCAGTAGCCCACAAAAGCCAAAAGGCTCAAGGCTTGGGACTCAGGCTGAAGACTCAGAATCTCGCGTTTACGGTGTTTAGGCTTTTCACATTTCGGCTGTAACGCCTAGGGTATTTGGGAGTTTCCGAGAATTAGGGTACCTTATTTTGGGGGTCCTTATAATAAGGATCCTATTATTTAGGGTACTATATTTGGGTCCCCCATTTTCGGAAACCCCCATTTGGCAAGGCTGGAGGTCGATTTTCAGAGCTACTAGTAAGCGAAGAGGGTTTCAGAAAATTTGGGGAAGCGGACTGTTGTCCTGTTTCCCTAAACCCTAAACCCTAAACCCTAAACCTTAAACCCTAAACCCATGGCCCAAACCCTGAGCCCGAAAACCGTCGAGCCTCAAGGACCCAAGCCCTAAGCGCTTGAAGTGCCAAAGTCCTCAAACCTGAAACCTTGAGCCTGCAACCCTATGTAAAGGCTTAAAGCCCCAAACTCCTATCCTTTTCCCCACACCCTGAAGGCCCAGAGCTCTAAAGCCCTTAAGCTTGCGGGATTCTTAAGCACTTCGAGCCTCAAAGCGCTAAAACTCTGAAGCCGCGCTGAGGACCCTTGAGCCGTAAACCCCTGCAGCCCAATCCCAGACCCTAAACCCCAAACCTCATATAACCCTAAACTCAAACCTTATATAACCCTAAACCCCCAACCTTATATAACCCTAAACCCCAAACCTTATATAACCCTAAACCCCAAACCCTAAACCCTTAACCCCTAAACCCTAGACGCTACTTAAAGGATCATGGGACTTAGTAACTGAGGTTTCAAACAATGTAACTATACTTCTAACCCCAATTAGGGTATGTATAACCCTACTTACTAAGTCCCAAGATCCTCCAAGTAAACTCCCGAAGCCTTACAGTGCCAGGCCCCGAGCACATCTTCGGATCTGACCTTCTTCCAGCAGCTTTCCCAAGACATCCAGAGCGAAGGCTGTGGGGATTTTTTTTTTTGGAGGGGGCGGGCGGGGTCGAGGCGATTTAGGATGTAGGGGATTACGAACATTGAGGGTTTCGTAGGGCAATTTGGAGATTTACTGTTTTAAGGGATTCGGGGGATTTCGGTTTTTTTAGGGCTTGAGTGCACGGGATGTTGGGAGTTGATATTTAGGGATTCGGGCTCAGGGGATTTAGGAGATTCAGGGTTTAGGCCATGGGATCTGGCGATTTCTGCTCTCTCAGGCTCAGGCTGTGTCTGGGGGTTTGGGCTAGGGGTGAAAAGCATATTTCCCAGCCTCAGATTGGAAGAAGCTCTACTTGGTTTTGTGATGGTCTCATGGGGCCTACTCCAGCCCCAACGAAGGGTTAAGAAGTGCGGGTTCGGCGTAGTTCTGCCCACCTAGCTAGACCCTTCTTCAAGACCCTTAACACGATGAGGATCCCCCAGACGTGCCCTTCGTTCAAGACCCCTTGGTAAACCGTTTGAAGGCTTTATCAACATATGTTTGTAAGAACCCGTCTAAGCCCCGAACTCTGCACTCCAACAGTTTTAGACACTAGCCCTGGACTTGAAGCATGTCCCGAAAAAGTCCTACTGTACTCGTAATGACCACGACTACGACCTAATCCTGCGCTGCTACACTGTCACTGCCGCTGCTGTTGCTGTATGTATCTTCGTAAGGCAGAAACCAGAAAGTTGGAACATCATTATCCTACTGCCCTTAAGGTAAAGTGTGTGGGATCTTGGCAGCAACCATCCTAAATCCATGTTCCAACTTTCTGGGGTTCACTATAGGTAACCCTGCATGAGATCCTCGCGCCAGGTGTCTTCCACTATTTCGTCTCGCGTGCGGCCTTCTGGACTTTTCAGGGAGGGGGGGGAACCTTTGATTCAACCGTATTTTAACCCTGAGTCCCAAAAGCCCTAAAGCCCTCAGCCCCTAAAGCTTGCACGGTGCCTGATATGTCTGACTCGGACCCGGCAAAAACATCAGATGGTGGAAGGCATTCAACGAGGGCACCTGCTCCCCATGATCGTCCTCCTCCTGCTCCTCCTCCTCATCATCACCCTTGCACCCTCGTCATCGTCTTCATCATCAACCACAAAGATCTTCCTTGCCACCGGCAGAACCCCAAGCCTCGTCGTTGCTTTCGATCTTCGTGGCTTGTGCCGCTCCGGGGGAGGATCGGCGTCTCCTCCGCCTGCATGGTGATGTGCGCGGGGCCTCGGGTTCAGGGCCGGGGCTGCTATGCAGCGTTATAGGGTTTCTTAAAGTAGGCTAGAAGTGGGGGAGGTCTCGTTTAAGAGGTGCTACTTGCCACGGTGCTTTACATATGAGGGTGGGGTCGAAAGTTGCGGCTCTATGGACGTAAACCCTTGAGATCTTAATCCCCTCAGCCCTGACCCGAGAATCCCTGTGTCCTTAAACCTAAGCCCTTCGCAACGCAAGGCTCAGTGACCCTTCGGGGTTTGGTGTTCGGCTGCTGTTCAGCACCGTTGTTTAGCAGATGGTCAGTCTAGGGACAGTGGATTGAATGTGTTTAGCGTTTGTTAGTCATCGCATTGAGCACTGATACCATGAAGTAGCTATGTGCCAGAACCAGTTCGAATTGATTTCGCTTCGGATCCGCTCATTCTTTAATCCCCACTCCCCGAACTGCGAACCCTAAACTTGGAAAGCCTACGATGGCCTGAGCTCTGTAAAGCGCCCAGTCCTGAAGCCTTATCACGAAACACCTAAGCCTGGTCCTTAAACCGCAAACCTTAGCCTTAAACCCTAATCCCTAATCCCTGAACCCTATTCCGTAAACTCTACATCCGTAAACCCTTAAGCCCGGAACCGCAACAAGTTTCTTCTCTTCTTCTGTTGTGATCCAGGCCTACTTCAGCTGGCCTGCTGCACCCCCTACGCCGACGAGGCGCAGGGCCTTGGGAGCATGGGCCGGGGTTGGGGTGTCACATAATGTATGTAGGGGCCTAGAGAAGTACCAATACTAATTTGCGGGTTCCTTATTATAATTAGGGTTTAGGGTTTAAGGCAATTGCCAATACTACTATTTTGGGGGTTCCTTATTGTATCTATAGTAGAATTGGCCCCGAAACCGTATTCTAATTATCAAGGCCCGTATTTTAGACCTGTGGAATGCAGAGGCCTGAACATTCTACTTTGTTAACAGGGTTGTGGGGTATATGAGAGTATGCATGGTAAGGAACCGTAGGGCATAATATTCGTCATACTAATTCTACAGGCTTCTACATTGGGGGCTTGGGGCTTTAGTATCAGGATGCTTAGGGTTAACCCTAAACCTGGACAACGCCGTAAGCCGAGCTTGGAAGGCAGCTTTGCAAATTATGAGTAAATAAACAACTAGGTCAACTAGTAAGTGTGTATACAGTGTGCATATATGTATATATATATATATATATACACATATATACATATGTATATACATGTGTACATGCATACATACGTGTATGTGTGTAATGTATGTAATGTATGTAACGTATGCAATGCATGTAATGCACGTCTTGTATGCATGTATGCATGTATGTATGTATGTATGTATGTATGTATGTATGTATGTAGGTAGGTATGTAATTATGTATGTATGCATGTATGTGTATATATGTCTATATGTATGGCAATACACACACACATGCAAAGGTAGGTCCAACAGCGCACAACTGCAGGCACACAAACCTGATAATTGCTCATCATGACACCACAACCACAAACATCCTCACACCTGAAACGGAATCATGGAGAACATTTGGAACACACCAGCTGGAAGATGCTATTCTTTCATAGCAGCAGCAGCAGCAACAGCAGCAGCAGCATGTCGTAAATAACACAGACCCAATTAGAGTGCATCGTGTCGATGCTCGCGGCAGGGAGAGTTTGCCCTCGAGGACGATGATGCAGAGGCCTAGCAGGGACGGTGAGTTGATCCAGTCATAGCACTTGGGCTTTAGGTTCAGGGTTTTTTATTTCAAGTTGGGGTTTAGGCTTTTAGCTTTATGTAGCGTTTACGGTCTTCGAGTGCAGGGTTTGCGGATTCTGGGTTAAGGGTTAAGGGTTTAGCAGCTTAGCAGCGTTCATTCATGAGGGTTTAGGCCGAATTGTTTCTTGTAGCATCTATCTGTGGTCACGGCTTCGTGTAGAGTATCGCAACCAGCTTGTAAAGATGATACCGACTATTAAGTTAAATCGTCCATAACCTTTGACCAGCGCATTGCATCCCCACGGAGCTGCAAGCCGAAGCATCCCTCCTTCCGGCGGTAGCCCAGCATTGAAAGCTGTACATGAGAAGTGTAGATTTTCACAGCATGTGTGATCTTGGAATCCTCGCTTCAACCCTGAACCCTTGACAAAACAGACATGCACACAGACAGGCCGAGACACACATACACACGCGCACACTCAAGCAAGCTATCAAGACTGGCAGAGCAAATTGGAACACCTGCAGTTATGGTTAGCTTTATGTTGTATGTATGACATGTCAGAGTATGACAGATACCTAGCTGCATGTCTGTAATGTAATGTAATGTAATGTAATGTAATGTAATGTAATGTAATGCAATGTAATGTAATGCAATATAATGTAATGTAATGTAATGTAATGTAATCTAATGTAATGTAATGTAATGTAATGTAATGTAATGTAATGTAATGTAATGTAATGTAGTGTAGTGTAATGTAATGTAAGGTAACGTTCTGTTATGTTATGTTATGTTATGTTATGTTATGCTATGCTATGCTATGCTATGTTATGTTATGTTATGATATGTTATGTTATGTTATGTTACGTTATGTTATGTTATGTTATGTTATGTTATGTTATGTTATGTTATGTTATGTTATGTTATGTTAGCCATATTTGAATTTGCGAACCAGTTCGTGGTCTCGCGCCCTCGCCTGAGAGGTCTGGAAACCAAGCAAGGCTGTCCTGGCATGGCTTACTTAAAGGATCATGGGACTAAGTAACTGAGGTTATAAACAAGGTGACTATACATATAACCCCAATTAGGGTACTTATAACCCTACTTGCTAAGTCCCAAGATCCTCCAAATAGGGCACACAGGCCGCAGGTGTGCAAGCCTTGGGAGTTTAGTGGAGCCTCTGGAGTTTACCTAAAGCCTTAAGCGCAAGCCCCATGTCGCGATGCCTCTAGATTCACTTACCCATACCCGGACTCGAACTAGTCTGAATCCGACAGCCTCACAAGCATGCACTTAGAGCCTAACCCGTGGGAGGCTTCGTTGGCAAGGCTACTGATTTTGGAGAATTCTGTAGGTGCCAGAAGAATCGAGCCTTGTGTCCCCCAGGCCAAAGCCGTAGACCCGAAAGCCTCAACCCTTTTGGCCCCAAGCCGTGAAGCCAGAACTCTCAGCGCCACAGCCTATGCAGCTTTTCACACGGAAGCATTTGAAGACAACCATGTCTCGAAATCCCATACATGTCCTACATGTCCTATACATAATCTACGCAACCACTTGGACCGGAACATCCTTACCTTGTAAAACCAATGTGAAAGCAGCCTTAAACAAACCCCGTCTCCCAAGCATGTTCCGGGTGTGATGTGGGAGTTGCAGAAAGTTAGGGTACCTTATTTTGGGGTCCTTGTAATAGGGATCCTATTAATTAGGGTACTATATTAGGGTCCCCTATTTTCGGAAACCCCCCTGTTAGCAGCCAGAATTCTCAGGGACTCGCTCCCTGAATCTCAAGCTCTCCGAATCCATAACGAATTCCGGGAGCTCCTATTTGCAATGTTTCGGAATGCAGCTTCATCGCTAAACTATAGTCTAACAGCTCCTAACAGCTCCAGAGCCGCAGCTCCAACAAGCTTCCTGCAACTCATCTCCTGCTCTAAACCTGCAGCGCACCACCCAACAAGCCTCAAGCCAAGCCGAAGCCCTGACCAACCTTGAGCCCTCAGTTCAGGCTCCCCCCCCGCCCCACCCCCGCTTCGCCCTTCACCCCGTTTCTAAGGTTTAGGGTTCAGGGTTCAGGTTTGGGGGTTTGGGGTTTAAGGTTTCTAAGCCAGTGTGAGAACTGAGCCTTACAAGCCGTGAACCAGGCAGCTCTGTGCTAGGATGGACAGCCACAGCCTTCGTCCCCTCAGGGCTGAGCCCCAAGCCCAAACCCGGACTAAACCTCCGATTGACCTCTGAACCTCTAGACCTTAAGCCCCAGAACCTCATGGTAGCGCCGGCGGCATCTCGTGCGCTCACCGGTCGCGAGCGATGCCGGGCGATTTCGGCGTTGCGACCGCAAGGACGGAAGGGCTGAGTGTTCAGGTATTGTCGGTATAGTACAATAAACCTCCCAAGCCCTGTTGCAAAACTTTCGAGTTAAGGGCTTAGCTATCAGTAAAGGGTTCCGAAAGTAGGTTATGGTTTAGGGGTTCGGGATATTGCGAAGTACGTGCAAGGCTTGAGGGTGTTGCACTCTCATGCTTTACTGTTGTTTCAAGTTGCTCGAGAATTGTACTCATAAAGTGGTGTATGCTCAATCCTCGTCTTGTTTCTGACTATGTTCAGTTTTGCCTCGTAGGTGTTGCGTTTTTATTTTGCATTGCAGTTGTCAAAGGTTGTTGTGCTTTTCTGCCGTGGGCTGCTTCGAACTCGTTAGGGTTTTGGTGTATACTGGACTATAGCTCGAATGAGGGGCCCTAAGAAACGGTAGGTTTAACTGCTTAGGCTTACATCTTGCAGCCCATGGCCCTGAAACCAAAACCGGAAGCCCTACACCAAAGCTCTTAACCCCAAGCCCGCCGGAACCTCATTCGTAAACCGTAAGCTGTAAGCTCTAGACCTATCCTTAAGCCCTGAACCCTAAACCCTACAGTTCCCCACACCCAGAATCCCTAAAGCCTAATTCCTTAAACTGCAGACCCGAAATCAAAAACACCTCGGGGAGGAAAATGGCGCGAGGCCCTCGACCTTTTAGCCTCAGCCGAGGCTCGGTGCTTCTACGGTTTAATGGAATGGGTTCGGCGGGTTAGTGGTGTAGGGTTTAGGGTTGCGGCCTTTTGGGGCAGAGGGATCGATTGGACGTATGTCCGTCAGGCTCAACCATCAGGTCCTGTGCCTGCTCAGAGACTTTCGTGTAGGGGTTTAGGACTTGGGCTCGGGGGTTCAGTGTTCAGGCTTGTGCGTTTAGGGTCTGGTGTTTGGTCCTTATTTTCTGGGACTTGCACATGTCAGCGACGTCGTCCAGAAGTTTCGGTACCCAGCTCGAAGTCTAGCAGCTCAGCATTCCAGTCCGACTGCACTCCTCCCTCCAAACGGCTGTAAATCCAGCCCACCAGACTCTAAACCTCCAAGCGTTCACTTGGGGAAGTAGTGCCGAGCTTGCGTCCCTGCAAGCGGTGTGGATCGATCGCTTCGCTACACACGATGGCAGTGTTGCCCACAGTCACAGTTCGCCTTGGCACTGCATGCCGCTCTGAAATCAGCCAGCGCTAAGTCCTGGGGCTGTGGCGGCCGCAGTTGCCCTATCGGGGCAACCGGGAAGAAGAAGATTAAGAGGGAACGCCGACCGAAGCTCCTTCCACGTGATCCAGTGCCAAACCGCCAGGGTAAGGTTAACCCCCCAAGGCGAGCTTTAGCCCGGGTTCGAGAAGACGGACCCCCGGTATCGTGATGCGTGCGAACAGCTACGGGCTGCCTCTGAGGCATTATCAGAAACTGTATTACCAAAGTGGCTTCCAACCGGGTTTATGCAAGCCTTGTCCGACTCAGGCGGTAAGTAAGACTGAGGCCAAAAAAAGGATCCCGAGCTACTTTGGCCGACAGAATCGACTGAACCACCGCATGCCTTGTCTGAGACGGCCTCATTGAGCCGTGTCGGTCGCACTTGGCTGAGAGAATCTCAGGTAAGATGCCGCCCCAAACTGGTCTCCACAGGAGTCAGTTTGGCATACTCAGTCGACATAGATGTGATGGCCGCAGCTACTAAGCTACCAAAAGCCACGGTTGTCGCCACAAGTACCCTGAAACCTAAGCATTCAACCAAAACCCCAAAAGCCGAAAAAGGCCCCAAAGCCAACCCAAAACCCTGAAAGTATGCACCCTGAACCATGATAGCCCTTGGTTCCAAGCCCTGAAACCCTAAACCCTAAACCCTAAACCCTAAACCCTAAACCCTAAACCCTAAACCCTAAACCCTAAACCCCAAGCCCTTCTAAGCCCCTCTGAAGTCTAAGCCTTGAGCCCCATAAGGCGGTGGACCTGATCTGCTGGAGTTGCGCCATCTCCGTTTGCGCTTCTGCGGGCCGCTGGCCCTGGTCCATCCACTTGCTCCAGGTGGGAGGGGCTCCCTCGTCGTCCGCATAGTGTGTACATGTAATTATATATATATATATATATTTATTTATGATATATATATATATAAGTTAAATATAAATGAATAAATAAATAAATATAAATATAAATATAAATATATATATATATATTTATACACATACACATACATTTTCTGTAAACTTATACACTATAAGCTGCTTCTGAAGCCGTGTTTGCGGTGTCTAGTTTAAGTGTTGGGTTTGGGGCGTAAGCACAGGCCAGGGTATTCTAGTGGCTCTCGGTGTTCTTTCATGGCGCTGTTGGACTGTCAGCATACTACTTTAGCATTGTTCGGAACCCTAGTCCAGTGTTTAGGGTTCCATACTGCTTGAAGCCAATAGCGCTCCCCCATCTAAGGTGCTCAACCCGTGCCACCCGCAAGCACTCCAACTCAACATCCTGAAATGGGGGTTGACTTGGAGTACCACGTCTGAAGCTTTACAATTCACAATACTGCACGATCTCGGCCACCTCAAACACAAGTGCCGCAGGAGAACTTTCAGGACAACGGGCATTTATAGGAAACTGAAATCTCCAAAGGCTCCAGCTCTACTGTCCCCAAATCCCTAAAGCTACACCGC